GGCGTTCGATACGCTCGAAAGAAAGTCGGGATTATAACAAAAGCTGACAACGACTTAAAAAAGAACAAACCACCTCCATACATTTGTACATATGTTGCGAAACCAATCCTCCAGACTCCTATGACAAGGCACCGCCCTCTACTCTACATCCTCACTAAGCAAACCACTCCATTGTGTCCGGCGGTTACCGCGAGCTACTCCTCATCGCTTGAAAGTCTTTGAACTCGAGGTACTCGTTGTATTCCTCCTGGAGCCGTCTGTCTGCGTCAATCTGCTGGCGCATCCGCCTGCGTCGAACTGCGGTCGCGCAAGCTGATGGGAACGCATTAGCTTCATTGAAAGCCGATGTGAGAAGGGTAACGGGATTCACTTACATCTGAAAGGCTTGTACGACCACTCGCGTAACCTTGGTGAGGCAAGGAGCAGGCCAATCAGGATGCCGACTACTGCTACGAAAACGCTGACAAGGGTGAAAATGTCTTGTCGCGACCACCTGCTTTGCGTTTGACCGGAAGCAGTCGAGCGATGGATAGAGTTTACAGTATGATCGGGTGGAAAAGGGAAGGCTTGAACGAGAGCTGGAAGAAAGCCGATTGATGCGGCAAGAAGAGAGCACATTTCCGCGAATTATAGTCACGTGCGCCAAGAGGCTTTCTTGACATACAGCAGAGTCGGGATGGGAAAATGAATAGAAAAGATCTCGGCGCGATTTGATAAACCCACTCGAGGATCTCACCGGGAAAGCCACCCCATACTGCACGGGCCAGCTCGACACCACCGGTCAGTCACCTCGATCAGGATGCCATTAAGCCTAATCTGTGCAAGCAGATTCCGCTTCATGCCCGCCCTACCGAATCATATGTCAAAACGAACGCCTCTCGGTAATCCAGATATCTTTTTGGAATGGTTTCAAATCAAGGCTATTCACTCACGAGTGTTTTTTGCTACTGAAGATGAGGCAATCGTCGGACTTGTTGCTTACCTAGGTATCCATCAGGTGTAACAAGACGTTATTGGTTTGTCTCAACGAATTCTAGAAAAAGTACTATCATACAAGTCTGCAATGCGTCGAAATCGTCCTATCTTCCGTTTTGATACCAACGTAGCCTCCAGGGCCTGTTCAGTTTTCGCATTGGATAGGATCCATTAATGCTTAGTCGTCTCTCCAATCGATACAGGTTGCTCACATCTCTACTCTATCATCTCAGGATTCTTGCGAACGCCTTGCAAAACAACAAGAGTGCAGGGACAGCGCTTGGACACCAAGGAAGATGGATGTGCAAGCTAGGACACTCAGTCTAGGAAATTTGGTACGTCTTTGGGTGGTTGTTTTGTCATGGAATATTAAATATCTCGAATAAGCCCCCAGAGACAGCAAAAGGCCTCTCTAGTATCTACAACATCGCCCATCTTATGTATCCATCCTTGCCGCAGCTCGTCGGCAATCTCAACTCCTAGGTACTATCGTGCAGCATTGCTTTCTCCTCCAGATGCTCCGCTCTTCACTGCGACCTTGAAAGTCAGAAGCCGCCCCTCCGCGTCTTTAGCAACTCAGTGTATTGATCCTGCAGCTGCAGATGGACCTTTTTGTGATCTTTCCTCTTCCAGTTCTTGATAGTCGATGGTCGATGTCTAGAAGACAGAGCTTCAGGATGCTCGGATGCTAGTCCAATAGTGAGCGGCTATTACATCTTGGTTTGGGAGCATGTGCTTACTGAGTTGCCCGCGTTGGGCGAGGCAATAGATGGGTCTGCACAGCCAGCCTCGTGCTTTAGGCGACGCGATAAGTACGCCAACCAAACCAATTATGACAGTGACCACTGCGACACACACACCAACAAGGGTGAGTACGTCTTGTTTCGACCAAGGCTGGCTGCCGGAAGCATGGACGGCCGCACTGGGGTAGCTTCCAACAAGCGAGCGAATTGGGATGGCGGAGACATTGATGGGGAGGGCGTGAACGACCAGTAACACCAACACCTTAGAAGCCTGCATAATGCTGTAGTCACGTGCAATATGCTGTTGCTGGGGAGGCTGGCTGCCTGGGTTACCTGCCACTTGAAGCACGGGCTTTCAATGCTCCAAGCGCGCAGAGCCGCATCGTTGGTATTGGTATACCAAGACATTTCTCAAGGAAGGCAAACAAGGCTGACTGGCTGACTGAGGCGCAGTGCGGGCGGTGCAAACAAGCAGCTGACCGTAGGCAAAACCGACCTTACGTAGATTGTTCGCTTCCGAGCCTCAGGTTCAAGATTGATCTGACCGATAACGCGTAAATACAAAGCGTATACTGGCTGCCCAAGATTGTCAGGCCTTGAGGTATTTAGGCGAACATGTTGACCGTGCCGTTCTTCCATACAGAGATCGATGGCTTACCGATTTCTGTAAAATCCGCAGAGTATATGAGCCGGATAAGAAAAGACTTTGTTAGCAATATGCCTGAGTACTATGTTTTAAGATCTGTAGCGATGAGACAGCTTCACCTAAAGTGGTTCTGGCAACTGCGTTGTCGTATTTTTGTTGGTTCTCGCTGTTCAGATCGCTGACCGGTCGTGCGGGGTTGGGTTGCTGCGCCCGCTTTTCGGGCTTTGTAAAGTTGAACGTCTGCTGACGGTTCAGTACTGTTGCACAACACATCTTACGAACAATAACTGATTACAACATCACCATCGTTTGAGAACTACAATTCGATAAACTTTAGTTTCAATATCGCGCACAGAATACAATCGATTGTTGTAATAATATGCAATACGCATGACTGATGTATTTTACGTAGAATGAAAGGGATGTGTCGTTCGACCCGTGCGACTCCCGCGGCGCTCTCAGTCATCGCCTACAAGTTTGCGCGGTCGATACGCTTGCCGCTTTCGTCAAATCGAATCTGCTTCCCGCTGACGAGTGCCTCCTGCAACCAAGCTCCAATCTGTACAGCCTTGACAGCGTTCTGAAACTCCAACGGTACCGGGGTATTATCCAAGCACGCCGCGGTGAACTCATTCGCCTCCTTGACGAAGCCAGGCTCGAATCGACCCCAGTAGTCGCTGGGTACCTCTCGGGTGATACCAGCCTTGGAGTAGTAGTTGACCAGGTTCTTCTGGGGGTTGAGGTTGACTGTCAGCTTTCCCTCGGTACCGATGATCTCGGTGACATCCTCTTGGCCGTGTGTCATCATGCGAGAGGCGTAGTAATGTGCGATTCTGCCATCCCAGAACTCGACGATACCGACGGCGTTGTCGTAGTCCTTGTGTTGCTTCAGACCTGGCAGAATGGCGACAACCCCATTTGCGGAGATGGACTTGGGTACTACGTTGGAGCCGAAGTACCATAGTGTGAGGTCGATGTCATGGACTGACATGTCGACGAAAACACCGCCAGACCATGCAGCGTACTGAACGAAGAAATCTAGGCGAGATGTCAGTATACAGCTTATCAAAACATGATGCATCTCAGCTCGTACCTGGGTCGGGGTGTTGCCTGTCGCAAGTTTGTGACCGGACAACGGTTGGCCGACCAATAGCACCCTCCTCAATCTTCTTCGCAACATCTTGGTAGCTGTCGTCGAAGCGTCTGGAGAACCCGCACATGACCTTGAGGTGTGGCTTCTTCGCAGCTGCATCGACGACATCCTGGCAAATCTGAACACTGGTGGAGAGAGGCTTCTCGCAAAGGACGTGTAGGTCCTTCTCGATAGCTTGGAGAGTCTCCTCAGCATGTACCGAGGTTGCAGTGCCGATCACTACAGCTTCGAGACCCTTATGCGCGAGCATCTTCTTGTAGTCGTCGTAGAGTGTCACGCCGTATGGCTCAAGGTGCTCTTTGCCCCATTTGAGCTCTTGTTGATCTGGAGAGAATGCGGCGACAAGCTCAGCGCGGGGGGTCTTGTTCAAGATGTTCAAAGCGTGTCGAGCGCCCATGCGGCCGAGACCGGCAACAGCGACTTGCAGTCTGTGAGGAGCCATGTTGAACCGAGTGGAAGATAGGTAAAAGAGCTCGTAGTTGAACACGGCAACAAAGTAGTAGGAGATTGGATGAAGAGAGCGCGGTGTAAGCGCTCTGAGGGAGACATTTTATACGAATTGTGGGCAGATCACTAATTCTCGTGCCTTTCGGAGGAGGTTTTCGTCGATGTTTTGTCCATCTTCGGCTCGGCCTCTAATTGGCTAGATAGCGTTTGTATGAAGTTCGGAGGAGGTTTTCGCAATGCAATGCACGCCAGTGTGGGGAACATGCGGGCGGCGTGCTTCAAATGGGTGCCAGCAAGACTGTGCGGGGCTCGGAGGAGGTTTTGGACCGTAAAATACGCCAGCGTCAAGGCGAAGATCCGGCAGCAAGACCGTGCACGCAGAAGGTGCAGCGATGGCAAATAACCCCGCGACGGCAATTTCCTCCGCCTCTCAGTCAGCTCTCAACTGCATCAGCATTGCAGCAAAGACCGCGCCGCTTCTTCCGCGTCCTTTCTCGACACAGCAGCCGGTACTTCTGCTACGCGAGGGAGATGTGGATGCTTTGCAAGCATGTCCAATTGTGGCGTAGAACCAACCTTGGAAATGTCGAGATTCCAGGTCATCATAAGCTCTAGCTCCATTGGGCTTGCAGAATAGCATGCAGGCACGCTGTTACAAGGTACATCATCTATCCAATCAATCCCCCATTCATGTCGCAATGATATGGCTTCCAATCACGCTTATGATCCTTCTCGTCACTCCTTGTTCTGACGCAGTCGCTTTCCTCAGCTTGCGATGATGGCTTTCAATTCAGAGAGGCTTAGTGCCGCGTGGCTGGCAGAGCCCCGGGGTTATCTTTAGCGCCATCCCCTCACCGACACATAACACGATGCGGCTCCGGCAGCACTTGTCCCACCACCGACTCTTCTCAACTGGAACAAGATGAATGAGGAAGTTAAGGAACTTCATCGCGACCTCGCTCGTAAGTATCGTCGTCATGGCCCTCGGATTGAACAAATATGGCGTTCGCTCAGCCGAGAACAACGCGAAAAAGTCATGAGAGCAGGCTCTCATGAGGGCGCTGTCCTGAAGCATGCCGGAGACACAAGTTTGGGAAATGTCTACAAATTCGTCCCTGAATGGAACTTACACGACATGACTGCACCATCCTCGGACCTCCTCCTCGACTTGCTCAAGCACCGAGCGACTCTGTCGTTGAAAGATCAATATACCACGGGTCTCAAAGGAGTTCCGGGCGACTATGGACACATAGTCTTTATGATGGAAAAAAAGAACCTGAAATTGATCGATGCTTCAAATTACGACGACTGTTACACGCTCTTCTTGACCGGGGATAAATACGGAGAATCGGTCAGGATCGTGGCCGACAAGCGAGAAGAGGTTTTAGCCGAGATGAAGCCCGCCATAGAAGCCAAGCTTATAGTTCCTCAAGCTACCGGCGAGCTCATTCTCATGCGCCAGATCAACCTGCTGCAGTTTCTCAATATTATCATTGAGGATATCCTGGAGACTGCATCCACAACGCGAACCCAGACGAAGCGCCCAAAGAAACCAAACGATGAGGCTACCGCGGCACTGGCACAGCTGTCAATACACTCGCCCCCGAAGAAACTCGAGTTGTCAGATCTTGTGGACATGGCGCTCGACCAAATGTCGGCTCGTGAGGATCTTCTTGGTCTGATCACGACTGAGCCCGCGGTTCTCGCCCACGAGGTCAACTTTTGCTTCTTCAATAGACCAGAACTCGTCGCAGACGAGATGGGACGCATGTTGCCTGCCCAGACAGACAAATATATCAGTGGTGCTGTATTCGATGCTGTCCATGGCGCAATAAAGACTGCCGCTACATGGAACTACATCGGTCGTCTCTTGGATATGTTGAAAACAGTTTCAGACAAACAATATCGAGCGATCATCCTCAGAGAGCTGTCGAACACTTGCCATCTCGAGTATCTGCGCGCTCAGACTCGTTTTAAAAGCAGTGTGGCTGTAGGCTTGTGGGGCACTAAATGGTTCAAGCGCATATCAGCCGTACGGAAAGATGACATCGCACGCCTCTCATTGAAGCAAAGCCCCGAGTCTTTGACGTTGAAAAATCCGCAGCTACATTACATGCTTCGACTCTGTCAGGACGACATAAATTGGTCTGGGGCTGCGCAATGGCTTCAGAAGCTGGAGGACCTTCATCGAGCTCACCCGCTAGAGCGAGACAATCTTTCGGAGCGAGAATACGACTGTCTCGGAGATCTGGCCATTATCGTCACTTTCATCCAGTCTCTCTCATCAGTTGCGCAATTACCCGCACCAAACCACAAGAAAAGCCAGCCATTCATCCCAGGTTTCGCAGCTTTGGACAGGGAGCTGAGGTCGCTGAAAGATAGTATCGACCTTGGTGAGTACGCTATACCAATCGACAACTTGCTGGAGCCGGGTATGGCTGAAGGCGCTCTTGCAACGCTGGATCAGTATGTTGTTGAGATGGCAGGTACGAAGCTCGGTTTCCTTTACCAGGACCTAGTCGAGAACTGCGCATCCAGCATCCAGCAGCAGTACGAGCAGCAAAAGGCAAAAGCTAGTCAAGGCCAAGCCGAATACAAGGCACCATCAGCCCCCGAAACCCCAGAATCGAACATCCAACAGCGCAAGCAGAAGGAGAAGACGCGACCGGCGCAAACCTCCATCTACGACATAATGCCGCAAGTCACCACAAATGACCAGTCCGTTTCCTCAAAGGAAACCTTTTACGTCAAACCCTCCACTGCCGCAGTTTTCTCGTCGCTGTTCTCAAGGTCATCCGCAGCTCGAAGCCCAGTACGTTGGGACGTGTTCGTGGCTGCCATGGCCGATTTCGGCTTTACAATCGATCCCAAAGTCGGCTCAATCTACACGTTTGTCCCTCCTGAGAAGGTATCGGTACGGAGGGATATAACGCTTCATCGGCCGCATCAGGCAAGTATTGAGGGGCGACTCCTTCTGATCTACTCCCGACGCTTGAAGAAGGTGTATGGATGGGATAGCTCCACGTTCGTTACGGAGTAGGCGTAGTTGATGTTGTGTAGATAGCTATGTAGGCAAGGCGCTGAGCTCTGTTCATAAGACGGTCCCCCTGGTCGTGACTGGGGAGCACGATTCGATAAGAAAACCTTCAACATGCAAGACTTCGACACGTGTTCTGGTCTTCTCACTCTTTGAACGCGCTTTGCGCGAGTGATAATCTACTCTAGATGTGATGTGAGTTCATGACATTGCTCTGGCGTGTCGACCGTCTCACCTTATACACGGAAGAAACTGAACAGCTCTGCAGCCTACGTTAAGATAAAAACATGCAAAGTAACGACTTAAGGGTAACTTAGGCTCTAGGGTGTTCAGCCTTTCCCTTGAGCTCAGTGGTCTTGGTTCCGCGTCAGGCGAGGGCGCCAAATTCGGGGGGCTGGAACGGCGAATTCCAAGGATCAGCAGGGCTCCCGCCGCCGGCCCGCACCCGCACCTGCTTCTTTCCTCCAACACCACCACATTGTGATCGCGATGGGCTCATACGACGCGTCACACCAGCGAGTGCATCATCCGCACGCCCGAGGCAGTAGCCATTCATGAGCCCCCCATCCAGGCAGACTTTTGCCATGTACTGAGCCTCAATTTGGACGGCAGTGTGATCCGTGTTCGGCTTTCTACGCCAGGAAGCCACGTCGGAAAGCAAGCCACGCCTGAGGCTCGCAGGCTAGCCCACAGGCATGGCGTCAACCCGGATCAATCATTCGCTGGGCAAGGCATCCAGGCGCGGGGTGCATTTCCAGCTGAGTGAATGTTCATGCGCAAGCTCCTCAAGGCAACATTGAGGCGCAGCGGTTGAGGCGCCTTCGCATATAGCTAGCCACCAAAGCCGGAAACGCGATGTACAATATTACTGCACACCGTCCCTCTATACCTCAAGTCTATCATAAAGAGCCATGGCCATCCCTCCGCTCACCGAGAAGCAAGTATACCTCGCGCTTAGAGAATCTTTCAGCGCACTCCACATACCGCCTAGCACCGCGAAAACGATCCGTAAAAATATCGAGAAACATAGGGATGAAGCCAAGATTGCGCCTCTAATCCAGAGATATGGAGTGGAAAGCATCACCGCGGTAGCCTTCGCTCTGTCAGGAGACCAGATCTTTGCTTCAACGGCGAAAGCGAAAGTACGCTTTCCTGATGTCTTTGGAGGTCTTCCCATTGAGCCCAGCCCATCGACTGCCTCTGCATCTCAGACTGGGAAGGACGGTACAGCGGCTATTCAGCCAGCAGTCACCAAGTCCAGCGCTGCAGCAAGTAGTGTAGCAGCTGTGCAACGCGTTGCAGGTACATACAGTCCCGAAGAATTCATGGGCATTGGCGACAGGCTCAAAGCTAGGAAAGAGAGAGAAAAGATCGATAATGGTATGTTGAATCAACGTATTCACCAGCCGTGCTGATAAGAGTTCAAGCATCCTCGCACACGCAGTCATTCGATTCCGTAGCCCTACCACTCTGGGACCAGCATCGCATCCTCGTCAGAGTCCAATACACTCTTGAAAAGGTCTGCTTCGACTTCGCGCAGGAGAGGCTAGCTGGGCTTTTACATCGAGAAGGTTGGGACTGCGCAGAGGCAGTCGAACTCAACCAATGGGCCAGAACATTGCTCATCTACCGAGAAGAACTCAAATTGGACGACATGAAAGACGATGTAAAGCCTTTGCCCGGTCTCATGGAATCGATTGTCCAGCTCCGACACAATGCCGTCCACCGAGTTCGCCTGTCATCCAGTGGACTCTTACAGCACCTTACCGATGCTGTACTTCTTGCGCAGCTTTTACATAACCATAAATGCGGCAAATTTCTCTCAAATATACGACAGAGGGCCCATGATGCTATCGAGGAACTGGTGCGCAACAAGCAGTTACTGGACGGAAGATTGGCGGACATTAAGACAGAGTTTGCTGCGAAGAGAGCTGAGCTTGAGCGCCAAGAAGCTGCGTTACTGGAGGCTACGGTGAAAGAGCACAAAACACCTATGGTCTCTGTGAGCGGAGGTTTGCATCGGCTGTCGGACGACCATGGTGGAACTACTGAGCAAGTACATGCGCCATGGCTACGTGTGTACGATGCCGATCTACCCGATAATGGGTCTTCTGGACCTGAAGATACTACCAGCCAAAGCCCGGAGAGTGAGGCTATCAAAGGGATCGATGAAGATGCAGATGTCATCAGCCCACCGCCCATGCATCCCGTACCTACACCACCAGTCGACAATGTCTTGCTGGAACCAGACATCCATCCCGAGCAACAACAAGCCGAGAAAATTGAAGAGAATAGTTTATCAACAATGGAGGAGGTTTCTGTAGAGCAGTCAGAGCTCGACGTTCACGAGAGCGACCAGAAGCACCCCTTGGACCCTCCACCACTCGACCAAGATGATACAGCGACAGACAGTGAGGAGGCAACGGAAGGGCATGGAAACAGTTTGGAAAAAGCGCATGCATCCAATTGGGAAGACTCCAATTTCCAGGACATTGATGAAGAGGTCTTCTATGAGCCAAGTACCAGTCTCGCGTCTGCTTGCGTGGACGAAGCTGTAAGCGACGCGTTAGAAGCACATCAGGAATCACCTATCGACGACCAAATACGAGTCATAGCCTGGGATCCGGATGGCAGCGAAAGAAAGAGACAGCGCATAGAGTATCGCTTATGAGAGCAATTCGACGCTCTCGTGACCAAACCATCCTGACGAGAAAGATTGCTAGAGCACCATAGACAGCGTTCCATCTCTTAGCTCTGAGTCAATAGTCAATAAAGTACTTCAGGTTATCAATGATCAGCACGGAAGAAGGATACTTTCGCCACAAGAGAGTCGACACGTATGCAACGATAAAGAGTCACTAGGACGCCTACTCGATCAAAGACACAGTGATCACCAAGCTCAGAATTCAATTTGCCAAACAAACTTCATTTCACCTCATAATACATCCTTATGCACGACCCCTACCTCTTCCACCAACTGATTCAATCCACTACGGAATCGATCCTTGTCTTCTTCCCCTCCTCCTTCTCCGCCTTCTTGGCTTCTTTTTTCGCCTTGCTCTCCGCCAATTTCTCCTTGGTCTTGGCCAAAGCGGACTTCGCTGTACTCCCCACCTTGGATTTGACCTTTTGGGACAATTTGTCTTTCTTTTTGGCGTCCAAGTCTTCCCATGTTGTCATTCTGTCTGGTGGGAGAATGTCATCGAAGGTATGGGCCGTGTTGACACTGTTTAGGCGTGGCCTGTTCGAACAGAGATAAGTGGTAGTGTTCTTCGTGGAGGACATCGCTGGGGCGTGGGTGTGAAATGGTGTTTGTGACGGTCTGCGGGTATATAGGACTTGAGCGTCGAACATTATATAGGTATGTCAGAATGCTCTGTCGGTCTGCCTCGAAGAACAGTCCACTGTGAGCAAACATGTTGATTTGAGTATATACGAATGAGATTGAAGTGCATTGTGAGTGATAGTGGTCGAAAGCGTGCGCTAAATAGTCATAGCTGACGATGTAAGACACTACGTTGCATTGTTTGGAACAGCCCCTACTGTCTGACTCGGGAAAGACATGTTCAAGACGACACTGCAGTCGTAGACGGTGTTGTCTCATAGACTAGATGCTAGACCAGCCGAACTGGCCCTTTGTGTTCCCGCTTCTAGTCGCAATCAGGATGAGACGACAGTCTCAAGATGCGCAGAGCTGCGACTTTGCGTAGAATTGGCACCCTGATTTTGTACCATGCCACTTCCCGAACATGGAGTGTGCTTTTGCAAACTGCCACAGCTTGCATGTGTGCAACGACCTAGTTCCTCGCCCATTCGTTCTCGACACTAGGCTGCTGATCGCGCTCGACATGTCCTGGCAACGCACCATCGAGGCGGCGATTGCCCTCCTCAATAGCACGGACTGAGTCTTGGCTGTCTTCTTCAGTCTCCTCCTCGATGCGGTCAGAGTAGCGGTTGCTGTTGTAGCCGGGTATGTAATCGATGGCTCGTCGAGGCTCGGTGTCGCCGTTGCGCTCGTCGGCGATCATGCGGGAGATGCGTTCGGGCGCGATGCGATGCAGCCACGACTCCTTCTGGGTGGGAATGGCGATGATAAGGATCTAGAGAGTCAAATTAGCATTGGCGTCTCGCAGCACTGCGAACCCCCACTACGTACCTGCCAGATGAAAACCATGCCCACGACGGACATGAGCATGCCGGCAACCACCTGCTCTTCAGCCTTCCAGAATCTAAAACATCCATCAGCTCTGCCAGCATACGTGATCTGGCATGCGTCGGCCTTGTGTGTTTTGTCTGGAAACGGCCATGCCATGTCGCGCGCATTGGCTAGGCCACAGCACTCAAAAGCATCCTGAATCTGTCGGATGGCACTCGCATCTTTGTGCTTGAACAACGTCTGCCAGCGCTCGCGCAGTCCGCAATCTAACCCAGAAGGCGGCGCGACATGAGTGCCGACGAGGGTAATGACGACAGTCGAGTAGATGAAGATGAGCGTGTTTGCGACGATTACGAGTGGCGGGCGCTGGATCTCGCCGCGCCCCAGATGCTTGCGACGCTCTTGCCGACGCGTGAAGTCATAGCCGCATTCGAGCAGGAGGCCTGAGACGATGGGTAGAGCCGTAGTGAAGCCGGTCAATGTGTCGGAGATGGGCACAGAACGAGCGTTCGCGCGGGAAGCAGCCCACCTGGACGTGTTAGCGCGGTCCTAGCATCGTCGGTTACGATGAGAGTTCACCCTGCGAGTGCGGTTGCGATGACGAGATACTGGATATTGTTAGAACAAGCACGTGAACGCTCGCACAGTATGAGACCCTACTAGCACGCTGATGCAAGTCACGACCTGCTTTCTGGTGTACGTCATTTTGCTGATGTTGACTCGGAGTCAGGCAGCCTAGTTGATGCTAGAGGCGGCTAAGCAGAGTAGTAGCAAAAGCGAAAGAATTCGTCGTACGCAATGTCGCGGAGGCGATGGCAGACAGGCAGACCTGCAGCGGGAGATGAGAGGAACTTTGGTGCTGTATAGCTTTGGCTTCTCCGCATCCCAAGCAGGCGGTAGGTTACCGCCGCACAAGGGTCCCGAGGACCTTCTACATCTATCTCAGCGCAGACGATGATTACTTCTCACTCGGTGCCTATCTTTGCTGGGCGTCACCGTGAAACGTGCAAAGCCTGAGCATGCCCTCATCGGTGAGACGCAGGCCACGGCAAGGGCAGTCCGCGGAGGGACAAGCAGGCTGAGAGCGACATGGCAGATGGCAGGGCTTTGGTTACCCGGTGACGCATCAAAGGACACGCACGCTTGCATCTGCGATGCGCTGCATCAGGCGGCTGCACACAGACGGCGTATCACCCTGGCCATGTGGCAGAGGCAGTCAATGGTGGTGTGAAGGAGTTGGGGACAGGAAGGGGTGTCTCACGCGTGATTGGGCTAGACGCTAGCGTTACCGTTGGCGGCTTCTGCGCCGGTTGATGTGAGTTCTCGATCTCTCGATCCAAACTTTTTCCACAGCGACGTCATGCCTCATCTACAATCGCACAATGCCTGAGCGGGGTAATATTCAACTCCTCGCAAAGCACCCAGGAGTGTGAGGCAGCAGCGACGCGTCTTCTCGTCAAAGGTCAGCGTGCTCCCAGCTCGTGTGACCACGGGAAGTGGCTTGCCAGTGTGTTGTCTGCAAAACAAACGCGTTTGTCCACACGATCACCGTCGCCCGTATGCTAACATCATTGGGCCCCAGTGCCTAGTGCCCTTCCCGTCCTGTAAAAGCGGGGATTAACTGTTTACACACGACTAACTATGTGCGAAAGTCAGCCTTAATCCGCGGTGCCGCCATCGCTTTGCTTTCCTTCGTTTTCCCAATCTCGTCCTCACCTCAGCCTCGTCGTGCAACACATTCACTGTCCGACATGCTGCTGTTTTCACCGCAACGATGCGACACCCTCCTCAATCAGTCAGCAAAACAAACGGGCTCCATGTTTAGGCGTTTCTCCGTTCCGCTCTGGCCAGCCAGCCAACCCTCCATCCAACTCTCACCACGCGCACCCAAGCAGCCACACCAACCTGCCCGTCCCTCACCACCAAGAAGAGGTCCATCACCACCAAAAGAAAATACCACCACCCAAATGTCACACCAACCCGGCACTCCCCGCTCGGCGGCCTTCTCTCCCACGCTTGGAAGCATTCCAGAAGTCTTCGAGTATGAGCCTCTCGACGCCCAATTTGGCCCTGCTTCACTCAACGACGCGCCCGAGACCCCAGCAGCTTTCTTACCCGAGGCTTCCGACCTGAGTCCGCCGACGCTGACCCGAGCGACGTCGTGGCCCGCCATCATCCAGTCACCATCCCGGAGGGTCGCCTCACCTTTTGCTGTCTCCAAAGCGCTGCGCAAAATCCTGGAAGCCGATCGGGTCCGACGGAGGCGCATTATGAAAGTCTACCTCAAAGCTATCGTTTTCCTTAAGTACCTATGGCGCGCAAACGAGCGTTACGGCAACGTCATGGTCACCACCGGTATGTACATGCAACGATGACCGACGCGAGCAAAAGTTGGGATTTATGGGCGTTTTAGCATGGGAATGGCGCGACAGGAAACGACACGATTGTATTATGATTTTATGGTTTACGACATAGCGATTGCATTGCCTGGAGGGATGCATAGCCGCTGGCGTTTGGCATTGGAAAGGCGTTCTTATTCCCAGGTGAACATTGCTATTACTATGAGCTTGACTGGTATTAGCCAGCTTCTGGATCTTTTGATCGAGTATTGTGGATACAGTACTACACCAAATGAGACTGTATCAAATGAGCTCGCTTGTGCTTTTCGTTTCTTCACGCTGTCTGACACTATTCACTTACTCTACAGCGATAACGTCCATTCACGACGCAGTGGTTGCATCACAGACTCTAAAGCGCCATAATGTTCTGCCACACCCACGCAGACTCGACCGGCTCGCTAGTAACGATTCCGAAAGACCTTCGCCAGATCGGTTGTATGAATGAAGGCGCAGGCACCTGGCTCCACGACGTTCTGTTTCACCCCGAGCGGCGATCTACGACCTACCTCAGTCCTCGTGAGACTTTGAGCACGTCCTACGACATCTGAAAGCAAGCAAATAGCAATCGACTGGTCACACTCCCTCCCTGAGTTCAACTTATAGACACGCAAGATGTCTTACTTGTGCCTCTTTGGCACTTCGCCCGCAACGTCTGGATACACTGCCGACCAAAGCTCGTCATCATCATCAAGTCGTTCAGTATCCCCTTCTAGCGACCGGAAGCGTGCGGGCTCCTTTTCCACAACCACGACTTCCAGCACTTTACCGAAGAAGCGTACGAAAACCATCGTGCACCCTCCGTGTATACCTGTATGCAATAATGGTGCCCCAATCGAATTGCCTGTTACCCAAAAACGTTTTTCAAAACCAAAAAGACCAACAATAGATAACGGGTGCTCTGCTTCATCGTCAGATGAAAGGCCATCGGTGTCGTCATCGACATCAGCATCAGCCATACCTGTACTAAGACATTTACGTCCCGGGGAACAATACGCAGGCAATATTGGTAGACTGGATGAAAGTACCGTGACGGTTGAGGTTGAAATCTCTAGCGAGGCTGCTAGGAAAGCTGAGAGCTCGATTTGGTATGTACCGAGGCATTAGGGTAGGCGGATG